TTTCTTATTTTGATGGAGACAGTTTATGAATATATAGTAATGAACATGTAAGTCAATATATAATGAACCTAAACTTTCTTTACTTTGATGTAGACAGTTTATGTATATATAGTAATGAACGTGTAAGTCAATATATAATGAACCCGAACTTTCTGACTCTGATGGAGACAGTTTATGTATATATAGTAATGAACATGTAAGTCAATATATAATGAACCTAAACTTTCTTATTTTGATGTAGACAGTTTATGTATATATAGTAATTAACATGTTAATCAGATTGTGTACTTATGAATGTAAAGAAAAATTCCAACACTATAATCTAGAAACAGTAGGGAAGAAACCACACTAACTTGATGTGGTGGAGGTGCAAACACAGACCCCGAGAGAATTTTCCACTCCTTCCCCGATTGTTCCACCAGATAGATATCAACACCAACCCGATTCACCAGTAGTGCCCATGGTTTAACATCAACCAACACAGTGTTGCAGTAAGGCCATCTCTGGGATAACTCCACCTAAACAACAATATATTTCTCCTGAACAATTATAGTATGGTTATAATAAAAAATAAAGAAAAACATAGCATGTTACGCAGATAACAACCATTAAAATATGAAAACAAAGGTTACATTACACTTAAAATGTTAAGAAGTTAGTTTTATCCATGACTTTCTAATTGAAATATAGCAACAACAGAAGTGTAGTGGATGTAAAAAAAGTATTTATTCCAAGACATATTGTCAATTTCGACAGATATATTGACAGCCATGAGTAATCAGCTAGAAAGCAAAGCAATAAGCTTTCTCATGGAGCCAATAGTGTGAGTATAACATTAATGAGATATGAAGCCGCCATAATTGTCTCATTCTACTTTATAGTCTTAAAAACTTGTCTGAAAATCTACTATTCATTAGAGTATAAAGAAAGTTTTGCTGAATTAACTAAAAAAACAACAACAACAACAAATATTATACATAACTGTCGTCAAGCTAGCCTTGGTTTATAAAGCTAAACCTATTACATGCACCATTTTATTACAGATTTACAAGTGTAGTATTGAAATTCTTCATATCTTACTTTCCTTCGGTATACATTTTCTATTTGAACTACAAAATATTTGAATTTTTTGGAGTTTGAATTTGGAACAGGTTAAATCAATTGAGGCCTAAGATGTTACTTTCTGTAGATTGTCCCGTCAAGAAATGTATCTAATATTTCATGGGATAGTTACATCGAATCTTGCTTCATTTCATGTGTTGAAGACTATCTGGTGGTTGTCACATGAACAGAAATACTTGTGGTGTTTATTTCCTGACTACATTGTTAGATATAACGAGAATGTGTATTATAAATGTACGTTTGGTACTCTCAGATCAGACTAAGGCAGTTAGTTCATCTTATGTTTGAGAGTACCCAAACGTATTGACAAGTTCCAGTCCTTGTTTTATATTTTTCTATCTGCTAATCATGGATAGTATATTTTAACTTCATTTCATTTTCATATGGAATTTTTTCTTTCCATTTAAACACAGTTTGTTTTTTCCATCTTCTTCTTCATAGTGCAGTTGTCTTAATCCTATCCAATAAAACATTTATTTAATCTTTGGTAAATATTTTGTCTTTTTCATTTCATCATATTTGATTCTAGAACCTCTAGTTATTGTTAAGTGAACGCGTGCTAGTTTAGCCTTGAATTAAGGTATAGGCTCAGCGTAATATATTTAAGATCTGTTTCATAACAGATCAATTAGAACTTTACAGGACATCCAAAAGTATATTTAGAAAGAACACTGCTTAATTCTGTCCTTGTTCTCTAATACGTTAACGAAAAAAGATAAGTTAGTACCTTCTCCTCGTGAAGAAAAATGACAGGCCAAGAAAATATTTCACCAGAAGTATATATAAGCATTGCAGGGTAACGGCACTGAATCTATTTTACAGAATCCTGAACAAATACTACAAAACATGTCACTGAGTTTTCTAACTAGTGATATTCTAACTTAACGAGGTGAAAGAAAATAACTTCATCTAAGGAAAAGTAAGAATGCTTCTTTTTTTTTAATCGTGTCTTTACTGTCCAAAAGTTAACCTCTCATTTCTCACTAGAATAAATTGTTTCTTGGACCCGATCGATGGGCGGTGTTAGCAATATGGTAAAATATCAACAAATACAACCTCTGTAAATTTTATAGATCGGCAAAATGTTTCTCAATTTCTGATTTTAATGTTCGTTTTAATTGTTTTATACATTTTGAAAATGCTGAGAATTATTTCTGGTAATAACACACTTATTTCTTTAAACTTCATGTATGATAATCCTTTCTTAAACAACTGAAAACGATACAAACTAAAGTGAATTGTTTTTTTTCTATTTTTTACTTACATTAAGCTCAATGTCTGGAACTTCTAATGGACGTATAATAGATTTTCCAACACAATCAAATGGTATGTACGGTAGTAGTCCCTCACGGTTCAGCTCATGCACATGACTTTACAAAACAGAAGAAAACAATTTACATGTTGCTGTTAATTTTATTTGTTAATTCATGTTTCAAATCCAAAACAAAGATATATCTTTTGACATCTTTTAAGTGTCAATTCTAGTACCATAAATAAAATCAAAGTATCTTTCATAGCATCCTCTTCTTCCAAATAATTTACTCTGGAAATAATTTAACTAAGGAATCATCACATTAGCAAGGTGGGTATACATTCCTGTTAACTATGGAATCATCACATTAGCAAGGTGGGTATACATTCCTGTTAACTATGGAATCATCACATTAGCAAGGTGGATATACATTCCTGTTAACT